CGGCTGACGCTTTCAGCTGACAGCTGGCATTCCATGCTGGCAGTGCTGGAGGCCAAGGCAGCTGAAGCATCACCCCAGGCTGTGGCAAACACACTGTGGGCAATGGCCACGAGCAAGGCGGACTTTGCAGCGGTGTGGCGCACAGCATCACAGCTGAGGGGCGCACAGTTGACGCTGCTGCAGCTGGCAGACGCCGCCGTCATCCTGCAGCTTGTGGAGGGCATGAATGCGCAGGAAATCAGCAACAGCTTGTGGGCGCTGTCAGATCTGGGCATGCGCCCGCGACAGCTGGTGACGCTGCTGATGAAAGCGGCGCTGCAGCAGGTGGCAGCCATGAATCCACAGGAGATCAGCAACACGGCGCTAGCTGCAGCCAGGCTCGGCCTCTTCCATCCGCCGCTGTTCGCAGCGCTCCTTGCTGCTGCACCGGAGCAACGCCAAGGAATTCCGGCAAATCCGCAGCACATCTGCAACCTTTGCTGGGCTGTGGCAATAGCGGACCAGCGGCCACTGTCGCAGCAGGTGATAACATTGTGTGAGCAGCTGGCAGCGAGCGCGCTGTGGGACGGAGGTTTCACCAGCGTTGGCTGCGCACAGCTGTGGCAGGTGCACCTATGGCTGCTGGACTGCCACCTAGGCGGTGCTGGGCTAGCAGACGCATTGTCAAAGGGACGGTTGCAGCGGTGTGCGGGTGAGTGGGAGCAGAGTTTGCAACAAACAGCCCAGCAGCGCCGGACCAGGTTTGAGCGGAGCGTATTTGCAATCGCGCAGCGGCTGCCATGCGTGGACGCCTGCAGTCAAGAGGCGCGCACGGAGGACGGGGCGTTCAGCGTCGACGTCGCCGCAACGCACATCCCAAGCGGGCGACGTCTGGCCATTGAGGCGGACGGTCCGGTCCACTTTCTGCTGCCAGGCTGGCAGGAAACGGGCGAGACGCTGGCGCGCAACAGGGCGCTGGCAGCGCGCGGCTACTTGGTGGTGTCTGTGCCTCATTGGGAATGGGATGCGTTGCGGGGCAGCCGCGCTCGGGAGGCCTACCTGCAGCGCAAGGTGGAGGCAGCGCTGTCGAGAGAGCTCGGCCAAGGCAAAGGGCCCACTTCCCTGGCGGCCAGACAATAGAAGCATGCTGTTCCATGGTACATCTCCCAGCTTGTGCACCTTGTGATTTGATGTTGCTTAGTCTTTGACTGATTTCTTTATTATACTAGCAAATTGCTCCACCACAAAGGCGTTTGACCAGGCTCAGCAGCTTTGTGTAATTCCTGCCTGCACCCGCTGACCCTCTTGTTTGGCATGCGACCTCACTTGGGCCACCAGATGCATCCCATCAACCTTTTAAAGCAATTTATGTGTGTTGCATGTAGGCAACACGCACACAACGGTAAGTCATTGCATACAAGACATTCAATACCAGCCTACGTGTAATCATGCACACAGCATATCGATCTGGGAGTACATTGCATCCAGGAAATTCAGGGTGTCAGGGCCACACTGGTGCTCTTGACAGCGGCAGCCCTATTGGCCAAATGGCACCACCGCGCGCAGCCATTGTCTTGGATGCTCACACGTGTGAAGACGTCATGACTGTAGGGCTGGCCCAGCAACCAGGAGACCGTTATTACTCAGTGTTTAGACCAATGAAATTACAATGCCCACTCACCAACAAAACCAAGCCAAACACACAACATGCAGAAACAGCCGGCGCAACGCAGGTCTTGCAGGGTACACGAGCAGCAGTTAACAGAATTGCATGAGTCAAAACGGCGCTACCTTGGTCATGGACGAATTCAATGTTGGGTTGGGTCATCAAAGACTTTGTGTCACGCCATGCCGGGGGCGCCTGCCCCAGCGGCTAGTGCCCCTTGCCGCCCTTGCCACCCCCGCCCTTGCCGCCGTGCGCCTTGGACAGGCTGCTGGCGATGAGGCCCCCGAACACGAGCGCGACCGCCACCCACTGCGCGGGCAGCAGGGGGTTGCCGACCAGCAGCACGCTGAAGAGGATGTTGAAAAACTTGCGGGTGGTGCAGATGAGGGTGTTGACCAGCGAACCGAACCGCTTGATGGTAAAGAATATGAAGAGCTGCCCCACCGCGCCGCAGACGCAGAAGAGCAGGATGTCGCGCGTCGCGTCGGGGTGGCGCGCGCAGAACGCGGCGAGGCCGGCGCCGACGCCCGACACTGCGGCAGTGAGGATTGGGGAGTGTGGGCAGGGGTGCGGGCGGTGCCGGGTGGGACGCTCGGGGAGGCGGCATAGCAACATTGTATTGGGAAAGAATGAAAAAGAAGGGGGTAGCATTACATATTTGATACTCTTGTGTGGCAACCCGCTTCTGCAGCCATCCAGGCTCATGGGTTGGAGACTGCAGGGGCAGTGGCTGACTTTGTCCCCAACTGCAACTCGGGGGCTGCTGCACACAATGGGGCGTGGCACTCGGCACGGCCGCAGGGCAGCACAAATTTTGCACCGAGCTGCACATGATCACAGGCGCGTGTCGGCGCAGGGCGACGCCCTTCACCTGCGAGGTAGGCGCCGTAGTAGAGGGCGCACCAGAAGTTCATCCAGCACATCATGTGTATCGGCGAGTTGCCCGGGTGGCGGTGGTTTATCTCGTCCTGCGCGGGGGTTATATGTTGCATCGGTCAAGCCAGAGTCGGGTTCGCGATCGGCGTGTCGCTGTTGCGGCGGCCAGCGCGGGCGCAGGGCGGAGGCTTCGCTTGGCGTCCCGACAGCGCCAGTGGCGATCACGCCACAAGTGATGCAGCGTGTATGATGCAGCGCTTGCATCCCTGCCGCGGGGCTCACCTGGGCTGCGTTGGTGTAGCCGTCCAGGAAGAGGTTCAGGAAACACAGGGTGTAGCCCAGGGGGGCGTTCGGCGCGGCGAGCTTTGTGGTCACCTGGGGCATTGGGTGCGACACGGCGGGCATGTGTGTACAGAGTGCGGAAGCATGGTGCGTGGTGCAGGCGGGGAGCTTGGGCGTTGGAGGGGAGAAGAGGGGCGTGGCTTGGAAAGTGAGGAACGCCAGTGCATGCCATTGGCAAGTGCCATGGGTGGTGGGGTGCTCCACGCCGACATGCGCAACGAAAGCCGCCTACTGCTTGTGGCCAGCTATCCTTCGATAGGCAGCCCTGGTGGCTGGCACAGCCTTCGCAACGCCGCCGCTGCTCGCCGCCACCACCCCTTGCGTCGCCGCCTGAGGCCACATGCGGGAGCGCAAGCGAGCGCGCTTGCACCTTGCTGCTGCTGCGCCGCGCGAACAGGCCGACCCCGACGCCGATGAGGCTCATGCAGAGGTACTCGAAGCCGCTGTAGCGCTTGCGGTGCAGCAGCGTGCCGACGACCATGACGGGGACCATCTTGGTGGACTTGGCCAGCACCTGGGCCTGAGGGGTCAGAGTGGGCGGCGCGGCAGGAGGCGAGTGACATGCTGTTTTGGGAGGATGGGATGTTCAAGATTTAGTGACAGTGTGTTAGGGGGTGGAACTGGCGACTGTGCACTCTCAAACACGGATGTGCGCAATGTGCTAGGGTGATCAGGGGTTGGGCAGAGGTCCTGGGCGACACGGGCGCCTGAGCGGTTGAGGCGGTGGTTGAGGCGGCTGCTGACAGCGGCTACGTTTTTGAAAGCTGCCGCTGCCGCAGGCTGATTGCAAATCTTCCCAAGGTGAAAGTGAGCTCCTGAAGAATAACTCATTTCAGAGACGGCGCATGTGCGGCTGCTCGAGGGGCGGACATGGTGTCCCCCCCTGGCCCCGCTGGCAGTGTGGATTGCGCCGCCATCTGTGTGGCACAACCCACCGGATAGCTGATATTCTTGAGAGCTACCATGCCAAACGCAGGCCCAATCGCATTGGTTAGCGCTGGCCGCCAGTACTCCCACCAAGACGGCAGCGCTGCATCGCCCTCCGCTGCCTTGACGCCACGGCCCGTGCGTCGCTGCAGCGCGACAAGAACATAGGCCCATAGAAAGCACATGAGGCTTTGTGCGCCATTGAGAGCTTCTAAATTGCCAAAGCGCTCCTGGCTGGCCCCATATCGCTTCATCTGCAGGTGCTCGGAGACCAGGCCCTGGGTCAGGTAGGCGCCATAGATCCCGGCCGTGCAGAACAGCAGAAGTCCTGCCGATTTGACGTCCGCCATGGCTGCTGTTATGGGACGCAGAGCAGCCCAACAAGTTCTAGTTAGGCTGATCTATAGACCAAGCTTCCGGTTGAGCTCGAGCAATTGATCAAGACCTTGGCGTTATGCTTGAAAGCCTCACGCCCGTGACACGAGTCCGCGACCTTTTGCTGGGCGTGCTGCCACCGATGCCGGGGCCGCTCAAAGAGCAGCTGCGGTGGTGCCTGCCAATGAGCCAACCTACCCACCACGCGTCGAGCGTATTTGGTTGTTTGCTAAGAAATTCAGATTATACAGCGCACAAACTCTGGAAGTTATTGAGCATGTAAGTCCATACTGCGCAGAACCGCTGGTCAAGCTGTCAGCCCCAACAACAGAGTGTTGCCCATGCCAGTCCCAGTGCAATCAGCTCGCGATTGAGGCGCTGCATTGCTTGGCACCATTCCCCTTGTATCACACCAACCTGCTGCAGTAATTTGTCCCCAAATAGGGTTCAATCACGCGTAATTAGCCACACCTCACGGGTAGGCACTTCACTTGCGGGACTGGTCGGTTGGGCAGGATACTGTTGCTGCTACTAAATAAAACCATGTCAACAATGAGGTGATACACAGAGAGCGCTGCACATGTCACTGTTACTGGAGGCCACAGGGCCAGATTGTTCGCTGGGGTGAACATGATTTGATTCACTTGCGCGCTGACCCAACCTCACCCGCAGTCGCATGCTGCAAGCACACCACACAGGGTGTGGCGTCAGTCAGAAACAAGGGGTTGAGCAGCAGCTGCAGCCTTCCAGGGGTTGTGTTGTTACCGGCAACTCTCGTGGTTGGCGAGTGCGTCCTACCCACACCGCACCACAGCGCCAAAAAAACAAAGTCACAGGGGGGTTCCGGAGGAGCACGGATCAGGAGGATCGAAGTGCGACGCGAGCACAACTGTGCGCACATGGGCATATTGTTGGGAGGAAAAGACCGGATGGCCTTTGCGCGTTTGAAGTGGCATGAATTGCCGGGATAAGGTTAGAATTGTCGCCGAAGCGCAGTGGCGCGCCGTTGGGGCGTTTGCCCTGGCGCCCTTGCTTTGCAGCAAGCTCGTCCAGGGTGGGGGAGGCCTTGGCAGCCCCCGCATTAGTTCAAGGGATCGCTGTTTCTCATTAGCATGAAAACATGAGGGCCCGCCTGCACAGCCTGTGCACACCCGCAACAGCTTCAGCGGCCAGCCAGACGCCACCTTGCCATTCAAGGGATTTGCTGGACTGCACTTCAAGAGTTTGAAGTTGGCAATAGGTACGTTGTAGCAAAGCTTGCCGATGTACAAACACGCAGGGCCTTTTGGTACTTTGCACGCACGTCAATTTTGCCACCAAGAGCTGACGTGCCACCAAGGGCCCACCAATTCCGGCTGCACACTTACTCCCTCGCGCCGCCTCCGAGCATGCGGCTCATACCACCCATCAGCCGCCCGCCCAGGCTGCTCTGCAGCTGCTTCTCAGCCGACGCGGTTGCTTCCTCCAGCTTCTCGGCTGCATCTGCGTACAGCAGCCGCTCGTGCCACACCTAGTGTAGGCAGTTTGCGAGCATAATGTCGGTGGGTGAAAACTCATGCATTACAATTGGATGGGTGGTTGGGGATACAATATTGTCAACATGGTTGCATTAGGCCCTGAGCATACACCGTTGGCATAAGAGTGGCTTACTTGCAGCTTTCAAGCTGCAAAACGTGCTGGACTATCCAATGCGTGATTGTTGTGCACCCTGGCAACACCAGTGCACATGCGTCTGCTGCGAGTACTGTTTCCAAACATGCACATGCACGCTTCAATCCATGCACTGCACATGCTCATACATGCAGCCCATAACCAAGACCGCTTCCTCACCAGCACGCTGATGGCGTATTGGCCGCTGCCTACGTCCTTGACGGTGAGCTGCAGGGGGAAGCGGTTCATGAACACGCTCAGGTCCACGTTGAGCCACCCCTGGGGAACGGGGTCGGACGGGAGGGGGTGGGGTGAACGGGATGGGATGGGATGGGATGGGATGGGAGGTGTGGGAAGGGGATGGTTGGGGTGGGATAGGACGGGTCCCCCTTGAAAGTGAGGGGGTCAGGGCATGGGAGATGGGAGGTGGGCCCCGAGAAGCATGAATCGGAGCCCCTCCCGCCTTCTCAAAGGCATTCCCCTTTGTGCCGTTTCACTCACTGCCAAACCCAACTAATCATATTGCCCTAGAACTCCCCCAAACCTACACCTACCAGGCTCAGGCGGTAGTCCCCAAAGTCAGCATAGTGCTGCCAAAAGTGGAAGGTGTACACGTAGGACGGGTCAAACACGGCCCCCTCCATGTTTGCCGGCACGTCGCACCACTTGCGCCGCCTGTCGGCCCCCAGCGGTTTGCCGCGCGCGTCCTGTGCAGGTGAGTAAATGATAGGTCAAGGATTAACGTGGGCAAATTGTTTCACTCTCCTTGTGTGCAGCATGTGTCGTGACAGCACTTCAATATAATTGCCTATATTCTCAGACCCAGGTAAGGTATCCACACTTCTCCCTGATTGCAAAGCCACACACACGCCTCTCCCTGATTGCAAAGCCACACACGCAAGCAGGAGTTTCATTAATCAAGTGGGCGGCAGAGGTTTGGGGTAGATGAGTAGAGGCACCCACCACGGCCTTTGGCAGCATGAGGGTGCAGTCCTCCTGCGCGTCGTACATCCCCGGCTGCTCCCCCTCCCTCGACACGTTGACCAGCTGGCAGGCGGCCATCACTGGGTTCATGAAGTACCTTCGAAGATATGAAGGAGGGAGTTGTGAGAATTCGGTTAACACCCTATGGCGCTGCGGCATGGTGAGGCTGCTTCAATCCCATTCCATCCACCCCACCTGCCACTCACGAGGTGTTCCATCCACCACGCGTCTCACTCACGTGGCGCAGCTACTGCTCACCTGGGGGTGCCGTCCACCTTGACCAGCGTCGTGTTGCTGAAGGCCTTGCCTGCAGCCGTCATCATCGCGCTGCACATCCAGGTGGGCAGCTTGGCCACGTTGAAGGCCTCCTGGCCTATGCACATGTCTGACGCCTTAAACAGGTCCTTGAATCGCGCCTGGTTTTGATCAGGTCAGGTTGTGGTGAGGTGGGTCAGTCGGTGCAAGTCGGTGGGCGGGGCTGGTTGCAGCGACATCAGATGAGAAGTCGGCTGAGTGTTTGTGGCACGCAGCAACACAGAAAGTGAGGACGATGGCGGTGGCTGATGTGCTGGACTTGCAGCCGGAGCCTGGTCACAAACTAGCATCCCACCGTTACTGGCAACGCCCAGCTCCTCAAAGCCCCAAACCCAGATATTTCAGTGCGCAGAGCGCACACCCGTGGCCATATGCCACCTAAGGCCGCCCTGCAACGCATCCTGACAGCCGGCTTCTTATCCAAGCTTGCGTGATGGCCAGCCCCTGCCTCCGCAGTGGGCAGCCAATACCCGCACCAGCAGTAGCCGCGCCAGCACCCGCACCTGCACGCAGACCTGGACGAACCGCTTCTTGCCGGTGAAGAAGCCGGGTTGCGTGCTCTTGACGCCGCGCACGTGGATCTCCACCTTGCCGTATGCTAGCTGGGAATGTTACGGAGTTGCAAATTTGCATGTGAGGTTTGGCACCTGAGGTCAGTGGAAAGCTACATTTCTCTCGTTACGTCGCCCTTCTAGGTTAAATCCTTGCAATATTCCGAGCAGCATGCGCGTAGCCCTCCGGCTGGACTCGCAACTGGGCAGCTTTGTGCGGGCGGCATGGCCTGATGCAGGCGCCTGCGCACCACCCTGTGCGACAACCTGCTGCATTTTTTTGATAAGGCTGATGGAGTGGAGCGGCCTAAGCAGTCCCTTGTCCACCATGTAGGATGCCCGGACTGCCTTTATTGCAAGCAGCAGCTGCAACGTTGGCATCGCATCGCCCGGCGCAGTGTGGGATTGTCACACTCAATTTGATCAACAGCCCGCCCACCTCGCTGTCAAACTCCATGAGGCGGCGGTTGACCGACTCCAGGTTGACGGCCGGCGACACCACGCCATCGATAGTCTGCGGGCGCAGGGTGTCGGCGGTGTTGCCTTGTGGCGTGGTGGTGCTGAATGCGCCACAGTTGTAGTTATGGACTATTTGTTCTACTCTGTGCTGCTACTTGTACTGGGTTGCATGGGCATGCATATGCACAGCAGCATCGCAGATACGGCTTCAGGCACACCGACAGCGGCGACTGGAAAAGGCCTCTATCCACAGCACCGGCATGCAACCAGTGTCAGTTGCCCCCGGGCAGCTGTGATGCAAGATGAACAACACTTGACTTGCTGGTGCTTCTATCCCATATCATTGCCATGCACAGCTGGGTGTCATGCCGACGACTCGGACTGCAAAGGTGCGTCGCAGCGCCGAGCGTGCTCTGCGCACCCGCCCCTGCTGCCCACCTGCTTGCCCCCAAACGGATTCAGCGTGACTAACACCGGATAGTGGCACGACTCCTTGAAATCCTCGGGCGAAGGAATCGCAGGGACGAGCAGCGGGTGGATTCCCTGGAGGTTGAGGCCGTGAAGCCTGTCCTTCCCCGACACCGAGCCCTGGAGCTTGCCGTTTTTCGCATCACTGTCCGACAGCGATGTGCCGCCCTTCACAGGCACGACCTCTGCGACTGTCATGGTTGCTGCGTGTGCGCTGGCCCGCTACGAGCCGCGGGCCAAGGGCGTACAGAGCAACGAGCTACGCAATCAAGATAGAGTCGAATTGAATCAACAATTGCCTCACTTCGATTCTAGGCGTCTCTGCAAGGAGTCGTGGAGGGAACTGCACGCACTTGCTCTCCTGCCGATCAAGCAGGCGTGCGAAGCTGATGGCTCGGACACCTGAACCAGCCGTGCTCTACAGAATACAAGTAATTGGCTTGATTTACTGTTATCTGACTTGGCGTCGATGCGATTACGGTAATCATGCAGCATGACTGGGTTACAGGGCAACGTGGTTCCAAGATCTCAAGATCTAGTTGTCTGCGATGCAGCTTCGTCGTGTGCGTGAATTGTGCTGTGCAGGTCCTAGTAGTCAATGGCATGCCCTCAAGGTTGACAGCTCTTTGCCAGATCATTTGCTGCAATGCTTCGGGGTTGTCCCTGCCTGCAGTTGCCCGGCTTGCAGTGTAAACAATTGCTTGTTGACCATACGTGTGTTTTGATGGGGACGCCTCGAACAGCGCAATACGCGCTGTGCAGGTACAAATCTCGCATATATATTACATCCAGCGCGCCGAAGGGGCGGCATGGGCGGGGTGGTTTTGCGGTGGAAGGTCAACATATGGTGGCATCGGCACGCAAGCACCAAAATTCGCCCTGGCTTCGTGTTGCTAGGAGTTTGTCTGTCCTTTAGCGAATGAACAACATCGAAAATTGGACAAATAGAGAGCTGCTCCTAGTTGTTTGCAGTCAGCACGTTGCAACTGTTGAGAAGGTGATGATGAGGGACAGATGTACCAGACCCAGCAGGGCTCTGCAAGAGCAGATGCAAGCTTCCGCACGGCCTCGCAAAGTCAACGCATGGCACGCTTGCACGCTTCTGAGCACGTGCGAGTTCCTGGCACCTGGCAGCAAGCAGACTGGGGCTAGTCACGCCCAGTGATGAGTCACGGTACCGCGAGTGGGGCGTAGTGTCAATAAAAGCACGATCGCCCCAAGCGTGCAGCCCCCTGGCTACTGCATCAAGCCAGAGCGCCGCTCTTCAGCTGCAGCACTGGCTGGGGCCAGGGTCTGTCCGTGGCTTAGCTGCCGTCCCTGCAGTATTGAATCAATCGTGGAGGTTGTTTGCGAGGTGTGCTGCAGCAAATTAATTAGCGTGCAAATCCAACGTGGTGGCCCTCGCTACCGCCCTTTAGCAACTGGAGAGCCCTTCAAAAACGGCCCCATAGAGTTGCCGCTCTTTCCCTGCTTTGGGGCCAGCCGCGTATCCTTCTGCGCGGCCGCCGAGCTGTGGCGCGTTATCACTGGTGTCCCGTTGATTCAACTCGATCTGGATCACGACCAGAACCTGAGGCGACTGCCCCTTGCCTTGGGCGCCCCAACTTCGCCACCGCCATCCGCCCGCTGGCTTTCCGCAGCCGCCGTCGCCGCTGCAGCAGCGGCTGCGGCAGTGCGCGCCCGCTGCGACTGAACGTGCTCCTCCGGGTACAGCAGCCGCTCGTGCCACACCTGTCACGCAGGGATGGCGCAGGCACCAACCATACTTTCAGGGGAACAGCTGCATGCGCACGTGGCAGGGCCAAGCAAGGACTCCTGCTGGCAACAGGCAATTCCCGGTCGGTGCTGCACAATCCTGCTTACACCCAGCCCGTCCTGGCCTGCAGTGCTGCAGGTGTGGAGAGCGACGGGCTGTCACAACATCAACAACGCATGTTTGAAGGTGCACACTACAGTTGCAGCACGAGGCGCGGAGGGGTGTCAGACAACTCACCAGCAGGCTGTAGGCGTAGTCACCGCTGTCACGGTCTTTCACCATGATGCCTGGGGTTTACAGTATCACATCATTTCGTGGATGCGACAAGAGTATTTAATGGTTGCCAGCGCCTGGACGATTGCAGGACCAGCCAAGTGGCAGCGGCAGTCCACGCATGCAGGCAACGTGTTATTGCTGAAAGCCGTCCGCATGGGCCATTGGCCACCTGCAAGCCCACAAGCAGGCTGGCGGGCCTTTGGGCCAGCAGCCGTCCCTGCAGGTGCCGCAGTGGCGCACCTATGGGCTGCGAGGACAGCACCCATGTCAGGTCAAACGACACAAAGCCGCCCGCGCAGGCCTTGTAGGTCCCAAAGTCCAGCAGCTGCGGCAGTTGCAGGGACATTAGGTGGTGCACAAGGCGAGGCTCATCTTTCAGCTGGGGCGAGCAGCGGGGGCCCAGCTGGGTGGCAACAGTTCCTAATGTACACTCTGCTTCCACAGGCGTCATCAAACGCTCCTCTATGGCGACACTGCGCAAGTGCACCTGCCAAGCCACTCCACCCATGCTGATTGTCCACACAGACACAGGCTCGCCACGCACGTGCTGCCAGACGTGGAAGGTGTACACGTTGTCTGTGTCAAACGACAGCCCCTCCACGTTGGCCGGCTCGTCGCACCACTTGCGGCGGCGGTCAGCCGTCAGTGGGCCGCCCTCCTTGTCCGCCAGCTTTGAGGACAGCAGCCTGTGGGGGAGAGGGGACGGTTGTCACCAGAGAAGCAGGCAAATCCTGGGCAAGAACTGGGGGCTGGGCTGATTTCGACATCCTGTGATGGCATCACTCCGTCAAAGAGCTTCAGCTGCACGTACGGGGAAACACAGTCAGCCAGATAAAAACACCATTGAGAAGGCAAAAAGACCACCTGTGTGATTCATAACCTGCACACCCACCTGCAGTCCTCCGGCGCATCCCATATGTCCGGCTGCTCCCCCTCCTTTGCCACGTTGACCAGCTGGCAGGCCGCCAGCACGGGGTTCAGGAAGTAGGGCTGCTCGCAGTGGGCGTCCACAATAGTGGTCTTGGAGAAGACCTGGCGAGCGTCAAGTGTGTGTGAAGAGCCTGTGATATGTGTTGGTGTATGGAAGCACACATGCATACGCTCTGGCAATACGTGACTTTGGAATCAAGCTGGCAGTTCCGAGCGTTTGCAGCTGCCGCCAATTAGACCAATCCGCCGCTCTCCAGCAGATTTGTTGTCTCAAAATACATGATAAAAGTTGAACCATGGGCTGCCCCGACTGACCCCAGCCCACCTTGGCGCATGCTCGCAGCAGCTGCTCCATCAGCCACTCGGCCCCCGCCCCGCCCTGGATGGGCAGGTTGAACTCCTGCCCAGTGCACAGGCTGCTGGCCCTGCAGGACACAATGGACAATTAGTGTTGTTGAGGCCGTTAAACCCCAACATACATCCCATCGTGTGCATGCTGCTGGTACAAGGCCAGCCAGAATCTCACCAAGCATGCACCTGCCGGCAGGGCCAGACCTACCAACTTGGCGCCCGCTGCCCCACCGAACACTCACAGGCACCTGAACCACCCCTGATTGCACGCCGCAAGCACCCGTTTATTACGAGAAAGATAATCGACCTGCTTTTCCCCCACATGCAAACATGTCCATCTCTTGTGCACGCACCTGACGCGCCTCTTGAACTTGCCCTGCACCGCCACATGCACGTGGCGCTTCTTGCCCTCGAAAACCGCCGGGTCAGTGGTCGGCAGGTTGCGCATGTGGATCATCAGTCGGCCCTGCAGGGACCAGGAAACGTGCGACAAGCGCCAGGAATGCTTAAGACGTGCTGGTTTGCAGGTGCGATGCACACTCCACGAGCACGGCGGCCTCAGCAGTTGCGGGAGCGCTGACCAGGGCACACCGCTCGCCGCAGGACCCAATCAGCAAATAGCAAGCAGCGCTGCTGCGGTCAGTGCCAGCAGAAGAATGTTTGCATCTGAGTACAAAGTCTGCGCGCCTGGGGCTGGCCCGCAACGCAGCGCATTGCTTTTGTTGCACTCCCACTCGCTCCCACTCGCTCCCAGGACCATGTTTATCTGCTGTCTGACCGGCTTGCAATATCGCCTCAGCGGCCACTTCCGCGCAACCCCGCACCTTGAACATGCTGCTGTCAACCTCGAAAGAAGGCCCGTTGATCGGGATCTGCTGCGAGGGCTCGGCCGAGCCGTCGTACAGGGGCACAGGCGCCGCCACGCTTGCGTCGGGCGTGACCACAACCGGGCTGTGCGGTGAGGCGCGGAAGTCGTCCAGAGACGGCATGCACGGCCTGCGGAGGCAGATGAAAGCATTTAAATGCATGCGGCCGGGCATGCGGTCACACATGGTTGCCTGGTTTCCGGGCCAGGAGGAGGTTCGCAGGCCGAGCTGACACTTGCCTGTGGCGCGCCAGGACGTTGGCGGCGCAGCTTTTCGGCAGCATGCTCCACGTCTTCTGCACCATTTCCGGCTTCACAGCCTCACTATCTGTGGGAGGAGCCACCATGGCTGCCTCCGCGTGTTTGCCGGACGGGCCGAAAGGCGCGAAAAGCAATCACCCACACGAGCGGATCGAGTGCCGTGAGAGAGCTTACGTGGTTCTTCACAAGCGTGGAATATCAAGAAATTTCGAAATGCATGTCGAGGCCCACAGGGAACAGAGGCCCTGTGGCAAATTGCAAGGAAACACGATCGACGCGAGCCGCGCCCAAACAGGAAGTTGCGGACAAGGTCCCACCATAACCCGGTTGATCCGGGTGATATAAGCTTCTTTTCAACCATTTTCAAAGCTGGCAATCCTGTCAATGGGCCCCGGCAAGACGGATGCCCGCCCAGGATCCCTATCTCCTGCACCAGTCAGCGGAACCAGCACAACATGCCGGTCAGCCAGTCGCAAGCCCCGAACCGAACACGTGTCATTCGTCTCAACAATATGTTACTCTCAAATGAGCTGCAGCTTCAACACCAGAGCAGTTGTCCTGGCGTCAGGGTCGTTCGCAGGCTAGTGGCGATATCTGCCAACCCTGAACTCTGTTGCTTCGGGGTTGTCGACTCTGATGCAACAACACGTACCTCGGCGGCGTGACGCGGCTTGTCCCATGCCAGCTGTGTCAAACGCATAAAGCACCAGCTGCTGCTGGTGGGGGTAGAAACCCCCAACATCCAGTCACGTGCGTGTGGTTTGTGGCTCCATAGAGTTGAGCTGCAAGGCGATGTTGCACCTTTTTACTATGAACATCACTACCTAGCCAGCTTGATGCGTCAAAATTTTCTCAATATACAATGAGCAGCACTAAAAGTGCTGGAAAAGGATCTCATGCAGAAGCGTGTTTTGCTCAGTGCGCCCCGCGACAGGGTAGGCTGGATGCCAATTTATCATGAGCTCGTGTCATGGTGCGCCTGCGTGTGTGTGGCGTGGGTGGTCAAGAACCTGATACTGACCCCCTCCTCTCTTGAGGCCTGTCCTTCTTGACAGGATAAGGGATGGCTCAAAAATTGCCAGCACGCTGTGCTTGCAAGCCCCAAAAAGCAGTGTCCAGCCGCAACAAACCGCCTCGCCATTCAATTCCCGTAATGTGTTTTCGAATTCAGCAACCTGCAAAGCGGCAGCACTCATCAACCAGGGCGGCCACTGGCAGACCTGTGACACAGCGGACATGCCACCCCGGGGCTGGCAGGATCCGTGGTGGCACAGCATGCACTGACCCTAGGACCCTACAACCCATCCTCCAGCTCCCGCTGTCGTGGTGCCTGGCCACACCGCAACGAGGGGCCGACGCTGGTCAGCGCCCACCAAATAGGCCCCCCAGCCAGCCCCCGCCCTGCTGCCTCTGCCCAGCCTGCTGCTGCCGCCGCGCCTCGCTCCTCAGGTCCACCACGATGCAGGTGGCGTTGTCGCTGGTGTAGCGCTTGAGCGCGTGGTCGGTCAGCGCGTCCGCAACCTCCTGGCTGCTGCGCCCGAGGGAGAACTGCTTGCGCGCGAGCGCCGCCGCCTCGTTGACCGGCACCGCGTCCCAGAGGCCGTCTGTCGCGAGAATCAGGAACTCGTCGTCCTCGGTGAACCGCACCTGATGGGGTGGAGGTATGGGGCGGACGGTGTGATCTAATCACGGAACGGGGTGAACGCGGGTCGCAAGCAAAGCACGCAGCGCTGGGCGGCCTGCGTGGTGCCGCTGATGGCAGCGCAGTGGCCCGGCGTCCAGTGCGTAAGACTTGCCAGACGTGGCGGCTGCGGCCCCCATCCACCGAGCGCACCCTGACGCCCCGGCCTCGCCCCTGCGCCGGGGGCGCGACTCACCTCTGTGACGTCCGGCTCCACGATCACGGGGTCTGACGTGAAGACGTGCTCCTCCGCGAGAGACTTTGGCCACATGCCCTTGCTCGCGCCCTCGCGCAGCAGGACCTTCAGGCCCTCACCCTGTTCACAGGGTGGGAGGCGCGTTGCTTTTGTGTGTGTGTGTGTGTGTGTGTGTGTGTGTGTGTGCGCGCGTGCATGCTCGCGTGTGCGTGCATGCGTGCGTGCGTGCGCGCGCGCATGTGTGTGTGTGTGTGTGTGTGTGTGTGCACGCGCGTGTGTGTGCACAACCGCGCATGCTTGCACAAGGGTATGAGTAAGATGCGGCAGCCTGCCTCGGCGATGCAACAAGCAAGATGAAAAGGAGACATGGATCCCTGCGCTGTGGTGACTCACCGCTCAGCAACGCTGAGCAACAGGGCCCCCGCAACGCCTGCCTTGGTGTCCCGCAACCCCCAAACCCGCACCAGCCCTTGCCCCTCACTTTGAACTCGGGGTCGCCAAAGGCCCGCGAAACCGCCAGAACGTTGCACACACGGCCGTCTGTCACCCAGGCCCCAGTGGCCTCGATGCGCTCGAGCTCTTCAGTGGGGAGGGGCGCAGAGGAGAGGCGGGGGGACGAACAAATGATGTTGCTCGGGATCGGGTGAGCGGGGAGGCTGGGCACAGCTGGTGGCTGCCCGAGGTACGGTTCAAGGGTGCAGGCGGTGGCGGGGTCCGCCGGGGAGAGATCGTCCGGTTATGGTGTCAAGGGGCTGTCGCCACCGCATGTGCCCCGCGGTTGTTCCCCTTCCTCTGCTGCCTTTCAAATGGCACATTTCTTTTTGGAAGCTTCGCGGCAGCACACACCTTTGACAGTCTCAGCACCCCCTTGACATCCTCAAGTCATAGCACCTTGACATCGTCGACCGCAAATATCGCCCCAGCAAAGGCCAATTGCAACACACATGCGCTCAATCCCGGCCCGCCACACCCCTCAACAACCAAGCTGCGGCCCCTGCCCCTGCCCCACACACACACACACACACAGACACACGCACACACACACACACACACACACGCACACACACACACACATCTGCGCGCACCTTCCAGGACGTCAGGCCCGTAGCCATACACCCTGTGCTGCTGCGTCGCCTTGCCGGCGCCCCCCGTGCGGCCCACCACCGCCATGCAGTCCCCCAGGCTGGCAAACACCGCGCGGGTCGGGTGCACCAGCGCCACCAGCGCCGTAGACCCCGACGCGCCCATCCTCTCGATACCAAACTCGGCTGCACACGATGGTTTTGCGGGGGCAAGGGTGGGGGGAACGAGAGGTGCTGGGGCTACTGCTGGCTGCCGCGCGTGAACAATGCTGCAGGGGGTCTCAGGTGACTCTCTGAACTCGGGTCTGTTTGCAAGCTGCCACTTGCCTGAGCAACAGCGCGCTCAGCTGGCCACTGCACACGCCGACAACGATGGTGCCCGCCTACACCACCCCGTGGCAAAGCCAACCTGCCGTGCAATGCCAAAGCCAGCTACCCAACTCGCCCCTTTCCCCCCTGCCAAAAAACCCGAACAGCCACTGAAGTGCGTGGTAGTGGTGACCCACCCTTCAGGTACTCAATAAGCCGCGCGTCCACCTCCCGAAACACCTCGGTAAACACCCGCCGCGCCCGCCCCGGCCACCGCACGCCCGCGACAAGCTCCTTCGCGAGCCAGCTGCGCCGCCAGTCGGCGTCCGCCGCGTCGTCGCCGGGGCTGGGGCCTGGCGCGCCCGCCGGGTCGGGAGCTGCGGCTGCCGCGGCGGCAGCTTCCTGCTGGTCGTCGTCGTCCGCCAAGAGGGACGCGTCGACGCGCGGCGCGAGGCCTGCGAAAAGGTTGGCCTTGAGCCACTGAGAGG